CACCACACAACAATAACTATAACAACAAATTAACTGGTCACCATTGGAGGATGCAAGTAAGCTAACTTATCAAATCAAGGGTTAATCTTGCCTTTTTACATAAACTATGCCACTAGGTAATCAAACAGTAAATGAGAGAAGTTCTTGCTTATAAATATATTCCACCTAACAAAGAGGGAAAAATAGAATATCATTGTTTTGCAATGCTTAATAAATGAATGAGCTTGGGCATTAATCATCAACTAAAAGGGAGACAACCAAGTATTATTTGCCTTCCAATAGAAAAACACATGACCAAAGACAAAATAGTCTTGCAAGAACAAAACAAAAAAGAGCCTAAATTAGATCAAACCTCCATATCCAACTACCAATCTTTACTAGATACACAAAAGGAACAAACGTGTTTATACCATAGAGATGCAATCAGCAAAATTCAGACTATACAAAACCTTGGAGGACAATTTTTTTTTAAACTGCAAGTTGTAGACTTTATTTGAATTCTAAGTCAATGGACCAAACTGGAAAACGATATAATATTTATGAAGCAATTGGAAATTTGAGTACTAACTAGATTCTTAATAGTAGAGAATTATTTTTAATATTTGGGTTTGACAATTGTGTGTATATTTGCAAATTATTAATTTTTAAATATATTTATTGAAATATTTAAAGATAAAAAATATATCTATTTTCTACTAGTTTCAAACTAATATGGAATGGGGAATGGGTGGAAATAGATAGGAAACATTATTAGTCACTAGTTGATAATTATTGAATCTGGATAAAGTACATGTAATTAATTTATTTTACGTATGTTTAAAATTTTCTATAATAAATTTATTGAGTTTTCCTATCCAAGAAGGTTTTATCTTTCATTTACTTAAATATATTGCTCTAGTCTTAGGGGAGTTTGAACGTTTCTCCTTTTATTTTTAAATTTAATTCTATGGGTTTTACCCTTTTGTTTCTACATTAAACAGGATCTTTCCTGCCGTATTTTTCTAACTGGTTATTGTTTGCATATAGGAAAATTATTTGTGCACAATATTATTAAAGGAGCCCCTTATTCAATTCTTATTGTTTCTCAGATATTTTTGGTGTGCTAATTTTGCCATGTATATAATTGCTATAGACTGAATGTTTGTGTTTGTGCCCCTACCATACATATATTAAAACTTAATCCCCAGTGTGATGGTGTTATAAGGTGGGACCTTAGGAGGTGACTGGATCTTGAGGGTGGAACACTCCTGAATGGGGTTAGTACCCTTATCAAAGAGACTCCAGAGAGTTCCCTTGTCCCTTCCACTCTGTGAAGACACAAAGACAAGACAGCTGTCTATGAACCAGAAAGCAGGTTCTTCCCAGACATCAAATCTGCCAGTGCCTTGATCTTGGACTTCACAGTCTCCAGAACTGTGAGAAGTAAATTTCTATTGTTTATGAGCTACCCAATCTGTGGCATTTTGTTACAGTTGTCTGAATTAAGACAATAATTATACAATTAGAAAAGAATTATACATTTTCTTCTTTATTCTTTCTCCAAATTTATAATTCTATTTTATTCTCTTGCACTGGCTGTTAACTCCAGAGCAATGCTCTATAATAGTTGTAAATGGGTATACTTATTTCATTCTCAGTTTTACTGGTAATAATTCTAAGTTTTGTCTGGTTTATTGTTTGGGATATATATTGTTGATCATGTAAGAAGTATTAATGCCTTCTTATGCCTTGAAGTTTTTATTATGTTTTGCTTTGATCAGAAATATATTTTTAAAAGACAATATGTTACTTATTGGGGACATATGTAATATATATTTCCATTTAAATTCATTTGAATTGTATAGGCAATATCCAAAATAAAAGATATTTTCAAACTAAATAGCAAATACATTTATCAAAAATTCTGAAGTGTAATAGATTCTTTGAAAAAACAACATTGGCATCAGCTTTTTAGTTACAAACCAAATTTATTACTTACTATAACTTTACATGAAAAATCTTCATGTAATAAATGTTCAGTCCCCAGAAGCTCTAGTAAGCTCTAGTGTTTCTACACTCTAGTAAAAGAAAAAAAGTACACATATTCTGGTTCATTAAATGAGATTTGCCCTGTTATGGCATAATTTTAACAAAGGAGTAATTTTTTATGTTCAAATATTATAGTGTTTCATACAGTCTAACAATGTAATGCACAGTAAGTTGTAATTTCAATACACTTACTCTTTTAATGAATGTGCAGAGAACTAGATAAATTTTCCATTGAATGAATTTTTCTTAAACAACAACAAGGGCAATTTGTCCTCTGAATTACATTGATATGTTGTAAGATTTTAATTATTTGGCAATGAGTTTCCTAATGGAGCACATTTCTGAAATAATAATGTGAATTACTGGGATATATAATTAGACAATTTTCACTCTGCCTACTATTTTTAAAGATTACCTACCTCTAATCACTAAATTGAAGGTAACGTTTAATTTGTTAAGAGAATGAATGCTAATTGAGAGCATAATTTTCTTGACTTCTCTTGGCTTTTTATTTTTCTCTCTGTAAATAAGGGGTAGGTCCACCTTGCCCTCTAGGATATTTTCAAGCTATGAACTTCATTTAGTTATCCACCCAAAAAGTCTCTCATAAATAGCTACAACTGCATAAAAAAAAAAAAAAGAAAATCTGACAATGTGCCAGTTTTTAGTCTAGCCCATTTATATTTATAAATATAATAAAAATTGATCTTAAATCTGTCATCTGATATATTTTTTGGTTTTACTGCTTCTTTTGTTGATATATTTTGCTATATAGATTTTAAAAGTTTAACTGTAAATTATATATACTGACACTCCTCCATGAAAAACTGAAAAAATGTACATTTTAATTTTATCCCACTTATTCTTAATAACCTATTCCTTTTCCTATAAGTTTTATCAGTTTTTGGTCCTTCAGGAAGTTGCCTTCATAAACTTAAGTGATCTACTTATGTTTCTATTTCTTAAATTCGCCATTCTACATAATACCTATTAACTCCCTGCTAGGAAAAATGAAGAAATCAGTATATCCACATTTCTTTCTATATCCCTGCCCTCATCCTTATTTCTCAACTCTGGTGTTTTCTGTTCTTAATAACATTACTATACCCCTGAGAAATAACTGGGATAGTCTTACCAGCAATTTTCGTTCCTATTAGCAAGGAGGAAGGGTTGGGTGGCAAGGAGAATGGCAATGACCAATGCCTGCCACAAATGACTAATCCTCCTGATTTGGTTTACACCTCTAGTTCTATCTCTGAAACTTCCACCTCACGCTTTATGATGCAGCAGCCTTCTATGAGATTGCCTTCTGTTTCTACACTCTTGGTAATTCAGTTCCCTCTTCCTAGAACACCTCCAGCCAACTGCTTATTATCCCATCAACCCATCTCGTGGCTCCCTTTTACTCTTCAAAGTACTGCTTAGACATATTATCTTCCACTAAGTCTTCTCTTCAAGATAAAATTATACAGCCTTTATTCAATCCTGTTTCTGCCCTACGGCCATACTGCAATTATGTTACACACCATAATGAATTACATTTACGTGTTTAACTTCTGTCTCTCCTTCTGGTTGTTACTAGTGGCTAACACTGTGCTCAATAAATGTTAACATGATCATTATACCCAGTAATATTCAGGAACTGAGTATTTGAATTATGCATTCTTCATAAGGAAATGGTAGTGAACACTGCTCACTATAGGCACACACGCTTTTTATTCTTTATATTATGAAACATTTAAAATATACACGAAAGTGGACAGCACACATAAAGTACACTAGGAGCCAAGAAGCGAGAAAACTCGGGTCTATTTAAGACTAGAACCAGAAAAACAGTTAACAAGTGTCCTAAATGGCCATTGCATGTTAAGGGATTTGTGCATGAACACAATTCCTGCCACTTATAACTTAATTCAAGAGAAAGTTAAGGTATTTCGTTTACGTTTTTCTTTTCAACGGCCCTCTTCAGTGTTAGCAATAGAGGAAAACGTGTCCCTGCTCCTTTGGATAAATCACATTGACTGAGGATTCCTCGAATTCATTTTTTCCAAAACGAAAGCACAGGAGTGAGGATCGTATCCAAGTTCCAGGGTCGCCAGCCCCTGCCTCCCCCTACGCCTGCACTGTGGCAGGGGCTCTTCTAGGGATGCTGGAGCGAGGGGCGGGGCGGTGGGTAATGTTTGGGACACCCTCCCCCCCCCCCCCCCCCGGTCAAAAAGGCCATCTAAAAAAAGTGTAAAATCCAGAAAGGCAGGACAGGCCAGGAAGAACAGGGAGCA